CCTGTGTGATCTTTAACAATTAACGTTAAGTGAAAGATATTAAATGATTAAATTAAATCAAGGGCGCAGGAAATCTTGTACCCGGTACTCATGTAAGAGAATAAGGGCAAGAAAATCCTACTAACAAATGAAACAAAGTTTCGAAAACAAATGAAACAGTTAAATGCTTCAAAAGTAAAATTGGTAGTCCAAGAATGTAGGCATACCTTGCCAAGTCTCTATAGGACATAAAGCAAGTTTTTCCCACTGAATTTAATATGATACTTACAGAATTAGCGAACTTTTGTGCTCTGAAAAAATAAGCTAATTCCCTACCGTTGTATGTATCATCATCTCTGACTGACGTGTAGGGGTGCGAGGTGTCAACTGGTGACGAGAACTGCTGCTGAGGTCCCAATTCAGCAACTAAAGTTCGAGCTAGAGGAACTATGGCCCTCTTTGTCCTCCTACAGTCAGATTGCAGAAGATTGGGTACTCTTGACCCGGGGCAGACCACAGTACCAGGGTACCAATATGATGATCTGTCAGAATGAGAAATATTCAAGGGACATAGATGGTAAACACGAGTAATAACAAGGAGGGAGAGATGACCAATTAAGAGTATGACTGCGGCCTACAGTCACCACGTAATCCAAAGTTGTCTCACCTTCACTATATATTACTCTCGTAATGCACAATACACCGCACCTTATAAAAAATGAAATTGAATGAAAAATAGTAAAGCTACGTTAACAAAGTTAAATACGCTTACCATAAATTACCACTTGGCACCAGTACCTGAGTGAGGCTCCTAGGACAGGCCCCCATATAACTTGTGACGGTAACGCGTTGGTGTTCGGCTGTTTAATGCTAGGGGTATGGCCTCGTCACATAGTTATAAAAAAAAATAGAAAAACTGGAACTTCGTCTGTGGTAAGGTAAGGAGAAGACACACAAAACACAAGTAAACTTTAACAATGAAATTTTAATTACGTTAAATAAATCAAAACATGAAAATAATGCACAAACAAATATGTATAATAAAATCAATCAAAATAATAAGAATAATTAAATGACAAAATGAAAAGTTACGTTAAGGCAAAATAACAAGAAGTGCAATACAACAGTAAGTGGGAGGTGCTGGAATATTGGCTTAAAGCCACCACCTCTCTCAGTACACTCTAGAGTCTAGCTGGGAGGAGTGCTGGCTACGAAAGCACGGAACATTCTGAAGACTGATGTTGGGGCGACCCCAGACATCGGGTAGTATTGGGGGGCGAGTGCAGGTGCAGCCAGACCGGCGACCAATCAGCGGAGCCGTAGCGATCAACGGGTAGTTTGGTGATTTGGGTCCGAACAGGTGGCGGGCTGCATACGTTTCTGCTCACCCTTGCAAGCCTTGCTGGTGTTGTTGTCGTTGTTGGACATTTCTTCCATAGTCTTTTTATATAATTGTGAAGACGTAATTTTGGAGGGAAGAGCAGGCTCAATCTCTTGAAGGAGATTATCGTCACACTCTGTTGAGGTCATCGTAGAATTTTTCCTTTGCCTCTGCTGGAGAAGTCAGGGTTGGTGCATATGCACTAATTACATTGACTGGTCCTGTTTGGGAGTACAGTTGCAGAGACAGAATTCGTTCGGTTTCCCCCATCGGTGGCATAATGTATCCCAACAGTGCATTCCTGACGGCAAATCCCACACCATGTTCTCTGGTCTCATCTGGAGGTTTTCCTTGCCAGAAGAAAGAGAAGGTCCTCTCTCTCACAGATCCTGATCCCGGGAGCCTGGTCTCTTGGAGAGCAACAATATCCATCTGCAGCTTGCTCAGCTCCCTATCGATGATTGCTGTTTTTCGGGCGTCATTGATTTCTTGCAGGTCGTCAGAGAAACCTGGTGTCAGTGTCCTGACGTTCCATGTGCCCAGCTTTAGGGCAGTTGATATTTTCTTCTTTGGTTTGGTATTGCTTGGTGCAAAGTTGTCGGGCCGCTTGTCAGTTTTCACCCTAAACCCCACGCACCCAGTGAGGTTAACGGACCGTGGCGAGGCAACACCTTATTGGCTGGGGTTTGCCCAGCTTGAGGCGGGCGGTAGCTGCCCAGTGGGGCGCGATGACCCCTCCCACCGTCGGAAGCAACCCCTGGCGTCACACTCTTCGCCAATCGAGCAGAAGACTTAAAACCGGTAGACTGTCGCTTCCCGTGTTGGTTCGACGCTGTGAGGCGAAGCTGGAGTGTCCTCTCCAGGGCGCAAAGCCTGGGTAGGTAGATATGGAGGAGAAGCTGTTACCCATGCAGCAGGTCCCCCCTCTCCACGTTGCTGAAATTATCCAATAGAGAGGCAAATGCCAATACGCATGGTTCCAGCAACGTCGCAGGAGCTGCCAGAACGAGGTCGATGTCAACAACGAACTGCCTTAGGGGCTCCAACTCCGGATTTTTCCTCGAGGTTGACTCCTGAAGCCTTCCCAAAAACAAGGGACTATCAAAACAAAAACAAAGCCACTATTACGCAAAGCGTTTCGGGCAGGAAAAACAATAATGACTAAAGCTTAATACTAATGGGTATAAAGAATAAAATGTGTTGAGAACAAATAAAAATAGAGGTAAAAGAGGGGGGAACATGGCTGAAAAAGCAGCACAAATACAATTACAAATTATTACAGACAATTACATTCAAACAGCGTTGTTTTGAAAAAAACAAACAGACATGGGTTGACAATAGAGGGGTAAGGAAGGTTACAGGGAATTTATTAGGTATAGCTTCGTTTTTATCTTAAACTGGTTGAGAGAGGTACAGTCTTTAACATGGTTGGGAAGGTCATTCCACATTCTGGGTCCCTTGATTTGTAGAGCATTTCTAGTTTGATTAAGTCGTACTCTAGGAATATCAAAACTGTATTTATTTCTGGTGTGGTGCTCATGGGTTCTGTTACAACCTTCAATGAATCTTTTGAGGTCAGGATTTTTTAGGACTAGCTCTATTTGAATTTGAATACGTACAAAATAGTAACAGGAATTTATAAAATTTATAGGGAAGATTTCCTGAGACCTGGAACTTGAAGAACAAGAGGTCATAGATTTAAACTAACTAAACACAAATGGCGAAGAAATATAAGAAAATTCACTTTCGCAAACAGAGTGGTAGACGGTTGGAACAAGTTAGGTGAGAAGGTGGTGGAGGCCAAAACCGTCAATAGTTTCAAAGCGTTATATGACAAAGAGTGTTGGGAAGACGGGACACCACGAGCGTAGCTCTCATCCTGTAACTACACTTAGGTAATTACTCACCCAGCATCCCAGCTCTCCACCCCCAGCCTTGCTCAGCTCTCTGCTCTGCTCCAGTCTCACCCATACGACACCACTACATTGCCAACAAACCCCACTGTTGTAACTAAGACTATACTAAATAAACATAAAACACACTAAGCCCTTTGTGTCTACCTAATAAACTCCATGTAATCTACCTTACCCCCTAAATGTCAACCCATGTCTTGCTATTTTCAAACAATACTGTTTGTTGACCAAGTTGTATAATTGCTGATTTCTGCCATGTCCTCCCCCCTTTTTTTCCTTTTCCTACACAATTTATACTTTAATCTCAACAAGTATTAAGCTTTAGTCTAAGTGTTTTCCCACACCTTGCCCGAAACGCTGTGCATAGTAGGCATCCTTCAGTCTCGGAAGACTATGGAGTTGCGCCCTGACAGGGCGCAAAGCCTGGGTAGGTAGATATGGAGGAGAAGCTGTTACCCATGCAGCAGGTCCCCCCTCACCACGTTGCTGAAATTATCCAATTTAAAGGCAAATGCCAATGCACATGGTTCCAGCAACGTTGCAGGAGCTGCCAGAACGAGGTCGACGTCAACAACGAACTGCCTTAGGGGCTCCAACTCCGGATTTTTCCTCGAGGTTGACTCCTGAAGCCTTTTCCAAAAAAAGGGGGTATGGCCGCAAGGCAGCGGAGGTTTAAAATCAGGGTTTTCCTTCCCCTAGATGGGCTGCCTTCCCAGGCTATCGAATCCCATCTACCCGGATGTGCATGTTAGTGGCTTTAGGCATTGTATGTACTAGCTCTATCTATAAATCCAACATTATGTTTGTAACTCATCTTCTATGTATGTACTTTTATATGAATAAACATTTTGATTTTGATTTTTTGATTTTTTAACCCAAATACAGTATGTATACGTAAACATACGTAACATGAGAGCATACATTAAATTTTGTAACTAGCTCATTAAGATTGTAACTTAGCCTAATGAATTGTGGGGTTCAGTCCCTGAGCCCTATATGTGCCTCTGTAACCCTTTTCACTACCGCCCACAGGATGGGTATGGGGTGCATAATAAATGAACTAAATGTATTTATTTTTATTAAACTAAACTAACAATCACGTAATAGTTATCACTTAAATTCTATTTCTGTACTTCAGTTCACAAATGTTTGTGATCTAATTTAGTTCTAACTTACCCCCATTGAACTTCTATATTATTGTGTTCATCATTATTTTGCACATGTGGGAATGTTGTGCGTACTACAGCCACTGTACTTGTCTTACCTAGGAGTCCTTCACTATTATTGAGTCTTGTGTATATATATATATGTACTTTTGACTACATAAATAATTATTATTATCGTTATTATTATATTATATTTTTTGCCCGAAACGCTATGCGTATTATAGTGGCTTTAGGTATTGTATGTACTAGCTCTATCTGTAATTCCAACTTTATGTTTGTAGCTCATCTTCTATATATGTAATTTTACCTGAATACAAAATATGAATTTGAATTAGATGTGAGCGAAGCCGATTATAAATTAGAATGTGCTTACCTAAGAGTGTCTACAGGTATAGGGAGGTTTAGCTGTGAGGTGTAGCTGAATGAAGGCATTATAATGACCGAGGGGTATCGTGCCTTGACGGTAAACTATGTGTAAACTTTGTAAAGCGAGAATTAGATGGAAAATCGAGGTGTAGAGTATGGTAATGTGGCGGGGAGTAGGAGGAGGGTTGCGCGCGGCGGGCGGCAGGTGTCAGCGGGCGACCAATAGCACATTGCCACCGGCAGCAGCAGCCACAGCCGGGGTTTGTTTACATGGTGTGTGACAGGTGGACCCCATGGCGCTCACCATCCCCTCTGCCTCCTGCTGAACTCTGATAACCCCGGGGCTCGAGGAGACGCGAGGCGTGGCCCCCCACACCACACACACACCACCACCTGCGGTAGAGCACGCCGCCCATGACGGCACGTTGAGGCACGGTGGTAGAGACACACACGGACCGGCATGGGGCGCACGCAGCCCAAGACCATGTCCAGCATGTCCAGCCCCCTGGGGGTGAAGAGCCTGCTGGTGTTCACGGTGCTCATGTTAGCCTGGCTCGCCGGCTTCCTCTCCAGGCTCTTCGCCGTCATACGCTTCGAGAGCATCATTCATGAGTTTGATCCCTGGTGAGTCCCTCATGGCTGAGACACTCGTGTTCCTCTGGGCTGTCGGGAACTTATCCTGTCACGATAAGATTTACATATTTCTCTCCAATATCTGGAGAATTAACAGAATATTGAGCCTAGTTAAACTAAGGTTAGTTGGGTGTTGTCATTTGGGTACCAGCCAGTAAGGGGTTGGGCATGGCATTGTTTGGGTACCTTCCTATGTAGGGTGTGTACCAGCCCTTGGGGTGAAGTGCTACGTTGTTTGGGTAATCTTTCCGTAATGATGGGTACTGTTGGCTGGGTACTCTTTTTTTTTTTTTTTTTTTTTTTTTCCCCCTTTGGTGCAGGCATAACATCAGTTGGGTACCCATTCTTATATGGGTGGACACTGCGTTGGTTGGGTAACCTTTCCTGCAGGGGTGGACAGCTGCGTTGGGTAACCTTTCCTGCAGGGGTGGACAGCTGCGTTGGGTACACTTTCCTGCAGGGGTGGGCAGCTGGGTTGGGTACCCTTTCCTACAGGGGTGGACAGCTGCGTTGGGTAACCTTTCCTGCAGGGGTGGACAGCTGGGTTGGGTACCCTCTCCTGCAGGGACATGTGGCTGTGTTAGCTGGGCTGCCATGTTTCCATAAATTTTATGGTACAGTAATTGCATTGGGTTTCATTATACACCATGGGAAATCTTCAGCAAAGGATCACACTAGCCTTTAACCATGGGCATGGTAAAGTCAATGGGCTTACTTTCTTTACACTAGGTCAAAAGACAGGGTTTAAGGGCTAGTGTGATGCAGTGATGAGGATGATGAAGTCTGTTCAGTCAGGTTTTGGCAGTAGGTACAACAACATCGTACAGCATGCTGGTACTAGTATTATGATTTGCAGTAGCAGTAAACTTTGCTCATAGAGTATGGAAAAAAAAAAGATATGAATAGTTTTGCTGTGAATAAATATTAAAGGATTTCCTAAATAGGCACAACCTCAGAAAAATTAGTGTTGGACAACTGTATTTCATGCAGACATTGTGCCTCTAGTGTACATGGTAACGAGGAATAATTTGTGCTTAATATTTTTTTCACTTCCTCAATTTTACCTTCCAGTATACTTCAAATGCTTTATATATATTTTTTCTATAAATGATATGGCCAATGATGTCTTCTACAATTTAGGATAAACTGATAAATAAAAACTGGCATTATCAAAAAGTGGCAAAATAATTATTGGACCCAAATCCTTGGGTGAAACAAAAGTCTAGTCACATTTAGTCTGCTAGAGCAGGATTATGATGTATAGCCATAGTACATTATCTGAATTTACCTGAGGACTATACTATCATCTCACTAGTGGCCTTGATGAGGACAGGAAACCAGTTCCATGTTAAAGGTCCCCTCATTTGTCCTGATGACTTGAATCGGCTGGATCTTGAAATAACGTTTCGGTATTTATGGCTTCGGCAGGTAGGCAGTTCCACGGATTCATAACCTTTTGGGTGAAAAAGCATCTCCTGCTTTTTGTTCTGCATTGCGGCTTGCTAAGCTTGAAGTTATTGCTCCTTGTATTAGTTACATCTGATCTTTTAAAGAAATAGTCTGGATCAATATCCTCCAAATTGTTCAGCATTTTAAGTTTCAGTGAAATCAGCCCTGTCATGTCTAATTTGCAGTGTTAGCCCTGTAGCCATAAATCATTACAAAAAGGGGGCTTTTCAAACCGACCAACCCAGATTTTTATGAAATTTGATAGGATGGTAAGGACATGAAGTAACTTACATATGCAAAAATGCAAAAAACTGTCTAGTACCAGCTCCAGAAAACTACTGTCTGATCGGCTTGACTCAGAAGCATTGCAAGCTCATGGAGACAATCCTGACAGAGGGAATCATTCACCATTTCTGTGAACAGTCTAGTAAAATCAAAGCCACATGGGTTTGTTAAAATAAGATCCTGCCTTACAAACCTCACATTTCTGGAAACTGTGTACAGGTATTGAAACAATGGACTCCCAGTAGATGTAGTGTATTCATGGACTTTCCTAAAGCTTTGGATAACATACTACATGAAAGATTAGAAAGGAAATGCAGGCACATGGAATAAATGGTAGAATAATAGAAGGGATAAAACAAAGGAAGCAAAAGGTCATTCTAGTCAGAAAAGAATCTGACAAGAAATGTGGTGAATGGGGTACTGCAAGGGTTCATTTTTGGGCCAACCCTTTTTATCAGAGTATACATCAATGACATAGATGAGAATATTACAAACTACATGATATTTGCAGATGACACTTAAGATTTATGATAAAGTATGAGGTAATATTTTATTGAGGCTTTATTGATATTTTATTTATAATTCATAAATATTGAGGCCTTACAATGAGATCTGCATGAATTCCACAAATGGTCAGAAGAATGGCAAAGGCTTTTTAATACTGTACTGAATAAAAAAATGCAAGACATTGCATGTGGGGCATAACAATCCATATCAACTTCCAAATTAACAATATTACCTTGCAGCATTTTGATAAAGAAAAGGACCTTGGAGTCAGAATCCATCATTCACTGAAAGTTGCACAACAAGTGTGAGCTGCACTTAAAACAAGCTAACCAAACTGTAGGAATAGTCAAGCAGATCTTTGGCTTCAAGGTAAAGATGGGAGATATTCAACTATGTAAGTCTCTAGTGTGCCTTCACTTGGATTATTATATCCAAGCATGAAACCTCATGTTCAGAAAGACATAGCTGCTTTGGAGAAAGTTCCAACACTGGGCAACAAAAATACTTCCAAAACTAAGTAAATTCTCATACTAGGAATGGGTGAGGGCTTCAGGGCTAACACTGCAAATTATAAATGACAAGGCTGATCTCTCCAAAACTCTTATAATACTGAACAATCTTGATGACACTGATCCAGACAACTTTTTTAAAAGATCAGATACTGTATAACATAAACAAGGAACAATGGTTTCAAATGCAACAAGCCCCAATGCAGGACAGAAAACAGGAGAAGCTTTTTTACCCATAGGATTATAAACCCACGGAACCGTCTACCCGCCAAAGCCATAAATGCCATAACTACTGAATTTCAAAATCCAGCTAGATCAAATCATTTACAAGAGGGAGGACCTTTGATAAGCTACCAGCTTCCTGTGTTTGTCAAGGCCACCAGAGAGGCCCCTCAGGTAAATTTGGGTAAATATTTATATAGCAGCAGGGTTGCCAATGTGAATGAAATAAAACAAATTTTACTTAAAAGTTCAACAATAAAAAGTCATAACTTTGCTTCTATTGAAGTAGAACCTTCATATGTTTCAAAGATAAGGAAGCATGGTTTCATTCAAGTTAATTTTACATTAAATATTGAATTTGTTAATTTCAAGATCTCATGACATGACCTTTCTTCTTGAATGTAAATTTTTTTTGGGGGGAAAATGTCAGTTAAAATGCATTCTCTCCATAGTATAAGTTTCACTTTGGGATGGCCTCGGGGACAGGAGTAAAAGATCATGAACGTACAGGTTTTTCGCCTGTACCTGTATGTGTTTGAGTCAGGCCTGGCCTCGAGCCGGGCTTGGGGAGTAGAACTCTCAGAACCCCATCAAGCAGGTAGCATACCTCACAATCCACGAAATGCCATTGCACTTGTTTGTGGAAATTACAGTATTTGAGAATGAAATGTACTGTCATATACAACTTTGAGGAAAATTTATAACAAATCAGTGCCCTCTCTGCAGCATATAAATATCATGCATCATCGAGAACTAAAATTTGGCGTGTACAGTATGTTACTTCATGTACTCTAACATCCTTTCAAATTTTGTGTAAATATGTGGTGGTTTGGTTGGCATCTGTGATGATTTGTCATGGAAAGACCCTGAAGTTATTTTTTTCAGATCAACAGAAGTTGCTTATTTGCAGGTGAATTTATTACATTGAATCAAATGACTTACACAGTATAACTATAGGTGGTACTGTATTTGATGAACCAGTCTTCTTAATAGAATGTCACATTTTGAAGTATACTCTACCCAAGGCCAAAACTTATTCTAGAAATGGTGGTAGCTCGCAAAATTGACATACTGCCCTGTTTTCTGTTTTGGGTCCTCTGGTAGGTTAGAATAAGGGCACTTTAGTACGACAATTTCCTTGACGTTCGGAAACCTTAGGAGGATGTGCTGATTTGACAACTGATTGGATTAGTTTTTTCTGGGAAAGACGAGACATTTGGGCACATTTCCTCACTCTTCATGGCACTGTTCATCTAGCAGTAAATAGTTACTGAGGAATAGGGCAACTGGGTACCTATTCCTGGGTAAGGTTAGTCATCAACAGTTTTGTTCTATGACATGAATGTCTTCCTGTATATGTTTTTAAAGAGCAAATGCTGATACAATATTTTTAACATTGCCAAATTCCTTAGAAATGATTTGCTCAATACAAAGATCAACTTTGTTATCATTAAAGATTATCTTACACTCGTGTAAGATAATCCTCTTAAATCTAGGCTCTACAGTTTGCATGCAGTTTGTTGTAAAGTGAAACTTTTACAGTGCATATTCCTTTTCTCAAGAGGTAATTGAATTCTTTTTACTATATCCACAGGTTCAACTACAGAGCGACTGCCCATATGGTAACGAATGGGTTTTACAACTTCCTTAACTGGTTTGATGAGAGGGCATGGTACCCTCTTGGGAGGATAGTAGGAGGCACGGTGTACCCAGGGCTCATGGTCACATCGGGCAGTATACACTATGTACTTAATTTACTCAATATCCCAGTACATATAAGAGATATATGTGTCTTCTTGGCACCTATTTTCAGGTGAGACAAGTGATGCATTTATTTTGTTCAAAAACTAAAACCTATGTAGAATGAATGTGGTTTAGTACCAAAACATAATGTTTGCATCAATACAGAGCCATACAACTCCCACCAAAGCACAGCTAACACCATCCACTTGAATTGGTCTGTGTGTTGACAGCCTCGCTTCTTGCAGAATCGGTGTTTGATCCGCAGTGGTTGAAGTAGTTAGGGACTACTGCTACACTTGAGCACCCTATTTCTGCCCTTAGTCTGTCCCCCTTATGCCTGCCACATACTATAATTATACTGGCTTTGCACTTTCTCCTTAGAATTACCTTGCTTTCCACCTGAGTAACCAGCTGACTAATATAGGTTAAACTTGGCAAGTATGTCATTAACAAAGAAAATGCTCAATCCTGAAGATAATGGGTTATAGGTTAAGATTATAGGCAAAAGTCTTCACTGGATTGGTATTTACTCCTTTACAAATTGTCTTTTTAAGGTTTAGTAAATTATATTGACAGTTGACTGGTGGGTCTAGGTTGGCCATGAATACATTGTGCTGGAAGGACATGGGGCGGCTCATATTCTCCCATTGCTGGTTGTCATCTTGGATACAATTGAGCTACAATTCTGCTTGATGACATGTTCCTTGTCTTAATTTAAACACTTCCCTGGTAATACAACTTTACAATTTTATTTTTTTCCATGTTTGGCTGTTCCCTTCTATTTTGCAGATGAGGAGTCACAATAATGAGGCTGAGGATATGATGACCAAACCACACACCAGAAGATGAAGAGACGATGACATTTCTGTCCGTCGTGGACTGTAGAGATTTCACAATCGACTTGATAATAGTCCAGGACAAACCAAAACGGTGTCGTCTCTTCATCTTGTGGTGTGGGGTTTGGTCATCATCCCTTCTGCCTGTTTGTATTGCTGGTTATGGGCAAGTCTCACATCTTGGTGCTTCTCAGACATGTTATGTAAACCTTGTTGTGTAAGTCAAGTGCTTCAAATGCTTTGATAATTATGGTATTGAGTAGGAGCTGGGTGTTCCATCTTTGTGATATATTCTGGTCAATTTGAGAACATAATTGAGGAAACTGCAGAAAATGTGTTGGCTTGTGCAAGGCAGCTCTTAATTCTACCATATCAAACTCTTGTACGCATGTCTAACCTATAGTTAAAACAGTCCGATCATCCCATGTCGGTAACTTTACCTGGTAATCTGTAGCATAAATCAACAACCTTGTATCGAAACCAGTGTTTACTCAGATCTTTGTTTCAACTAAACTTATCCAATTTGTATCTAGTAAGAGAGGGAGTCCAATGTGTGTGTACATGACGAGAGAGAGGAAGTGTGTTTTGAGTGAGAGTAGCACATGCAAAGTAATGGGGAATGGGGCTAATTTTAATCGGCTTTAATGTGAATATTTGTGTGAAAAATGGGAATTTTTTTTCACTATTGTATGAAGTTGTAGAGCTCTGCTGTGAATGGTTTTGTGATATAGATGGTTCAACTATGGACAGAGGTCTTCTTAAGTTCTTTTGTAATGGCCTGATAGGTGGGACAGTAAACACACAATATGATCAATAGTAAATATATTTGCTGTAATGGTTATACATAGTGGTTGATGTATATCAGGTGTTGACATGTTGAGCCATAAGGTGTATCTGTAGACTGTGGGTGGCAGCTGTAGGCCGAGTCTGTCTGGTGAAACATGAACCTTAAAATTAGTTATCATGTACTGTATTAATAGTTTCGTTCAGTGTTGTCAGTCTTCAAGTGATTTAAGTCTTTGTGTTGGTGTTTGAATACCAATGTTGTCCATATGGTTTCAATAGTTCAGTGGTGTCTCATAAGTCATAGGCCACAAAATAATTTAGATGGACTTTAGCTCCTGGTCCCCTGTCAACATATGACAATAACCACAGTTACCTGGCAAACGAAGATCTTCACTGTATACTTATTTTTATATTGTTTTTACTTTGGACAAATTCTTTATTTTTGAATGTACAATATTTCACTTTTTTTTTGTATGGTCCTGGCTCCTATCACCCTAAGGCTGTCAAAGGTCAGAATGTTGACCACTGCCTCAACCAAAATAAGGGTAGATGTATATATTTTGTATATTCCATCCCTTTGAATACAGTTCTACCATTTTGTAAGAAAAACTCATCAAATGAAATGGTTTCCATCCTATCTCCCCTTCCTTCCCCAACATGGCAGTCAAGGGTGACAATTTTGATGCCACCTGCACTTTGAGTTAATTTTACAGTTTCCCGTATAGTTCTAGTTTTTTCTTTTACATTTCAAATAAGAAGTGTCATTTTCATATTTTATTAATCATTATTAAAGTATAAATGGTAATACAATAGTCTTGAACAAAAAATTAACATGCCATAAAGTGATTACCAGTAATGTAAATAAACTAATGTATCTTGTAAATAACATACTACAATGTATGAAAGAATAGCAGAAATTATGTAATTACCTGGTTAAATAAAAATAATTACAAATAGATGAGAAGTTTTGAAGGAGGCATTCTTGCAGATTTTTGGCGCAACTGATTGGGATTGCATTAAGTTTTGTCACGGACAGATAGCTTCAGGCACCCATTTGGAAGGGTGGAGGACCTTGATGAACTTTTTTAGGATTTGGAAAGGTTTTCTAGGCACATGGTATGAAATGATCCATTGTATCATTGGCCTGACTTTCATGGGATGACTGAGAATTCTTGAGTTGTAAAAGTGACTGCTGCAGACCAGCAAGATTTAGTCCGAGAGTGCAAAAACTGACCCTTGTCCAGGTAACATAAAAACCTTTAGAATATTATGTAATATTTAACCAGCTCCTCTGGAAGTTAAAACCGGAGTCTTGAAGCTACTTTAGTAAAGTAATTAAATAATGCAACCAACACAGGTGAAAAGAGTGAGTGTTACTGTAACTTCTGAAGTAGCTGCTACAGGAGAAATGTAACCCAATGCAGGAGGTCAAAAATTGCCTAGAATGCCTCGTTAAAAATTCCACACACCTTATACCTATAATGATTTTTCCTTCTTTGTTGTGTACAAGGCAACACGCTATGCATGTGTTATATACTGTGTGTGCAAAGTTTTTTTGGTGTGTACATATCTTGCTCATTCACCATTGATAGATAATATTATTAAATTTTGATAATTATTCTTGGACACTTATGGCCTGGTATCGAGTTATTTGACCATATTTTATAATATAATCTAGACTAAAAAGATCTACAGTAATCTGAAAATATAAAATTAAGCATTTAAAAATAAAGAGCAGATCTTTTCATGATTTAGAACTGCCATGTAACCTTGGTGGAAGAAATATTTGTTTTTTTGGGATAGGGGATAAAGCAGAATGATGAAAGGATAAAGTTGTTCTGATTTTCTATTCTTGTCTTGAGAAATTTGATTTTTAGCTTTTTGTTCAGTAGTAGTAATCGTGCTTTTTATTTTAATCACGTATGAAAATAGTTTATCTTTTTTCTGATTTAAATGCATATTTCTTCCAGTGGTCTAACAGCAATTGCCACCTATTTATTAACCAAAGAAATTTGGTCAGCTGGAGCTGGCCTGTTTGCTGCCTGCTTTATTGCCGTTGTCCCCGGCTATATCAGTCGGTCGGTGGCAGGGAGCTACGACAATGAGGGGATTGCCATCTTTGCCTTGATGTTTACTTACTTCCTGTGGGTGAGTATAGGATGTCTGTACAGTAGTGGGAAAATTGTATTCTTGTAATATTAGCTTAAATAAGGTTCATATTTTTGGAGTTTTGTAGGACAATGTTGTTGCTTCAGACCTAGTTATTCATAGAGAGCAACACTCGTGCTGGGAAGACAGGCCACCACTGTCATACAATGCTCTGAAACTACCGACAGTTTTGGCCTCCACTACTTTCTCACTTAACTTGTTCCAACCGTTTACCACTGTTTACAAAAGAAAACTTTCTAATATTTTTTTGGCACCTTTGTTTCCTTAATTAATTTGAATCTATGACTTCTCGTTCTTAAAGCTGCTGGTTTCAGGAATTCTTCTTTGCCAATTTGGTCATTACCTGTTTTTTGTAGGTGGTGATCATTTTGCCTCTTCTATCTTCTAGCTTTGGCATATTTAATGCATCAGCCTCTTTTCATAATTCTTGTTTTTCAGTTCTGGAAGACATTTGTAGCATGCCTTTGCACTTTTTCCAGTTTATTGATAATGTTCTTGAGATATGGGCACCATACAACTGCTGCATATTCCACTTTTGGCCTCAAAAGTCATGAGCAGTTATTTGAGCATTTCACCATCCAAGTAATTAAAAGCTATTTTGAAGTTGGAAAGTGCAGCATATGCTCCTCACACAATGTTATTTGTGTTCCTCTGGTGACATTCTATAATTCAGAAACCCCCCTTGATCTTTGTTTTTTTTTTGTTTAAGTTCATTAATTCCTATTCACATAATTTGTAGGATGTGTGGGGTCTATTTTCTCCTATTCCACATTCCATAACATGACATGACATTTATTGACATTGAATTCCATTTGCTGTATGGTGCTCCAAGAACTTGTGTAGGTCATCACACTTTTTTATTTTATGTAGGTCAATTTGAAGGGCATGGCAATCATCTACGTTTCCTATCTTCTTTAGTAACTTAGCATCATCAACCAACATGTTCATATAATTCTGTATCCCCTTCTGGTAGGTCATTTGTGTAGATGATGAACATTGCTAGTACTAGTACTGAACCCTGTGGTACTCTGTAACACCCCACCAGTCAGATATGGTGCCTCTGATTACTATCATCTTTTTGAAGACAAAATCTTTCATCAATGTCGGCAGTCTCCCTGTCACCTGAAAACAGCATGTTCCAGTTTCCTAAACAACCTCTTGTGTGGGATGCTCAAAATCCTTTTCTAGGGTTCCAGATGTATACAGTTTACCCAGCCAGCTCTCCTGCAGAATCTTTATGATTCTGTCGTAAAACTAAGTAGATTTGTTACACAGGATCTTCTTGTTCAAAAAACCATACTGTCTGTTGTCATTACTCTCCAGGTGTTCTACCCATTTGGCTTTAACTATTGTTTTTAGTGTTTTGACTACCACACTTGTTAATGATACAGGTTTATAATTTAGAGGGTCTTCTACCATTTTTGTAGTGTGGACAAACATGGCTGGAATATCTGTTGAAATGGAATGTTGCACATTCGTTCAGCACCCAAGATGAAATTCCATCTGGTCTAACAGTTTTATTTCTTCCACGTCCCTTGAGTAAATTTTTCACGTCATCTTGACACACCTCTATGTACTCTGGGGTTTTCTGTGTATGGCATTGTCTGGTTCTCCTCATTTTGCACCCACATACTTTAGAACTGTTTATTTAGTGTTTCACATATTTTTCATTCTCTGTGAACCTGTTCCCTATTCTCAATCTCTGGATTTTAACATTTACATGCAGCTTGCTTTTAATGAACTTACAGAAAAAAAAAAGGCCTGGCTCTATTTAACATTTGTCTGCTACCTGCTTCTCGGAGTTCTTTTCTGCCTCTCTCCTCATTGCTGTGTATTTGTTTGTTGCTTGTTTGAAGTGCTGGTATGTTTAATTAAGGGTTAGGCCTCATCCTATATTGTATCCATTTTCTTGTCTTTTCCTCTCTGGCCCTCTTGTGATTTTTGTTGGACCAATCCTGTTTCCTAGTTCTACATCTCTGTTTTGGTATAAATTTTATGTTTTTATTATATATTTCACAAAATGTGTTTGGGGGGGAGAAACTAGAAACTTCATAGAGGTACAAGGAGCGTAATTTTCCAAATTTGCCCAAAAATGCAATAAGTGAAAACTCTTTCGATTTCAATCAAACTTTTTTGACAAGTTGTATATGAAAAGGGTTTCATCTGGTCCCAACCCGTCCTCTTAAAAATGTCACTTTTCGCTTGTATGCGCACTATGGCCAAATTTGGACGTAATTTGAAATGAAATTGACTCACAAAAGTGACGTTCTGTTCCGTTTTCTGTTTGAGTCGTCCGGCTTACTCTGCAAGGTTAAAAGAGGCAACTTTCCATTAACGTTTTTCATACCGTTTTGAAACTTTATGAGAATTTCCTGCCCACCTAACCTATCAGAGGACCCTGAACTTACTGTTGTTGAAAAAAAAAAAATCCTAAATTTAATTTAATTTTTTTTTTTCATTTTCAAATTACGTCCATATTCGGCCATATGGGCAAACGGCCAAAAGCGACGTTGTTTTTAAGAGGACAGGTTGCTGGTCCAAGTCTCAGCATAGTAGCATAAATAGGAAGGGAGAAAAAAAATATTGAATTGTCAAATTTTCTAAAATGGTCAAAAACGATTATCAAACAAAGATGTCAACTGAAATCATGTCTATGATTCTCAGCTATCACAATAGCATATTAAAAACAAATTATAATTAGTTTTATTAAAGAAAAATTTTAGTTAAAAAGTCAATTTTTTTTTTTTTTTTTTTTTTTTATCTCTTGTTTATAGGGCGACTTGCATGAAACTTATACACCTGACTGCATGTATGCCTATCTGTAAGGGTGCCAATTTTGGAGGAAATTGGTTGATGTCAACCTCAGCCACAGATGGCAACTCCTTAGACTATTTTTTTACTTACGTGAACATTTATGTTACTTGAAAGTGCATATCTTTCATTTTTTATTTAATTTACATGAAACTTACACCTTATATGTAAAGTTTTGTCTCTAAAATCATAAGGAAGCGTTTTATCCTGAGTTCATTTATTGATTTTATAATAGCAATAAACATGATATATTTGCATAATTTTGGGGGGGAACTTGGACTATTTGTATTAGGAAAACTAAAGACGTTTTGGAAAATCCCCTCCTATTGATCCTTTATTATATGCTAATGTGTCAGAAAAGTGTCATAGAATGATTATATCTGAAAGGTGTGTTTGTTCATTTACACTTGAAAATGTGTAAAATTCGTTGAAAAAAACAAAAAATCTCCCTTACTATTTAGGCTACAGTACTGAAACTTAGAACAATTGCAGCCCTTTTCATATACAACTAGTCAAAAAATAATGGTTGACATTGAACAACAACTTTAGTTTTCCTAGTACGCCCCCTTCATACAGGTACTAGGAGAATACTTTTATAAAACATAACGCATTTAAAAAGGAAGATACAGTTGCCTCATTCAGTTGATGCCACTTCAGAACTTTCTTAATTTACAAACAGTACACGTTTTATGCGTTGCTGCACACACACAACTCTTCTCCCACCACAGCACTGCTAGGACTTGCACACAGTGCTGTTCTAAGAGATTTTAAACATCAGAATAGTTAAATTAAATACAACAGGAGCAACAAGGCTGGTAGATGGAGTATAAACAGCTAGAGCTCGCTTCCCTGAAGACACTGATGGGTATGCACCACTGTTAACAACTTATCCATATTTTATCTATAAAATAGATATTTAAGCAGGATTCATTGGAAGTGTATTTTGTGTACGGGAGTTAATTTTGCAAAACTGGGGGGGGGGATTTAGTACTCTATTGTTGTCCATTAGCATACTAAACTAACCTGATAAATGAGTTAACTTTTAAATTGTGACATACGATGGTTTTGAATGGCTGTGAACTATATTATGTAAAGAATAATGGCTGTAGTTTTGGTATAGTATTGTAATAATCTAGGGTTTCAGTTAATAATAACATTTTTTGTTTCAACAGGTCAAGTCTGTGAAGACGGGTAGTTTGTTTTGGTCTTCAATGGCATCACTTTCATATTTCTACATGGTGAGCGCGTGGGGTGGTTACGTCTACATAATCAACCTCATTCCCCTGCACGTGTTTGCCCTCTTACTGATGGGGCGGTTCTCTCACCGCCTCTACACTGCATACACAACTTTCTATATCCTGGGGTTAATTTGCTCCATGCAAATACCATTTGTTGGTTTCCAGCCAATAAGGACCTCAGAACATATGGCAGCAGCTGGTGAGGATTTTATGATTTTACTGATGTTAGAATTTAGTAGTTAGCTTCATCTTCTGATGGTTTTGTATGTCTGAGGCAATGTCTCCCACCCTGGAGACCAGGAGGCCTGGTTGACGACCGGGCTGCGGGGACGCTAAGCCCCTGAAACACTTCAAGGTAAAGTAACCCCATTAATTCATGAACTGTACAGCTATTTAAACGTACTACATTAAGATGAATCTGACTTGAAATAGTTAACAAATAAAATGGTGGGGAAAATTTCCATATGGTGATTGGAGCATTGTAAAGAGTTAGTGAGAAATGGGAGTAATGATTGTGAGCATTTATGTAGCAATACAACTTTCTCTCAAATGTGTTTGTTGGACTTGATTCCTGTGTATGGAAAAGTCTACAATTTGTGTTGTCTAGGTCTGGATTATAGTGTAAATGCAATGTAGTTAACTACTATACTTCTTTGTCTTGTAATTCAACTTGGGTTGAACTTAATGGTATTAAAAAAAGACAAATTAGTACAGGAGCAGACTAATTAGCAGAGATAGAGCTATCCCTACCCATAACTCTTCTAAGACTTGCACTACTGTTTTTTTATTTTTCCCTGGAACATGACTGCAACCAGGTCATCAATTACCACTAGGTGAACATGGATGAATAGTTGATGATCAGTGCCCAGTTGACCCTCCTTTTCCAAGGCATGAACCCGGTGAAAATCGCTCACAAGGCCTAGTGTGAGTGCATTACCATTACGCCACAGTCTCTTGTGTTGATTTATTCTCCCCAAAACTGAAGTTTTTTTGTTGTTATTGTTATGATCATTCTCATCAGGTTGCTTCAGTCTTCTATGTTATAGTCATGTCAGGCTCACTTCTGCACCCATCCTCTGGACTTGATCAATTTTCTTAACATACTTGATAAAGGTGCACGTTCTATGCTGATGCACAAGCTAGCATTAGGCTCTCACTGATGCAGTATAATGTCCTTAAGGATTCGTGTTTATATGCTTGAAGGTGATTCTCGTATAGTCAGCATTTCTCTGCTAATGAAGTTACAATATTTATATGCACTTAAGTGTAAGTGCCCACTCCTAGGTCCTTTAATTTTGTCTAGCTGCTGCCTCCTCCTTCAGGCTGTAGTGGATATCTTGAATCTCTACATTCTCATCGCTATAAATTAGATTTAAATTTGAATAGCCATGTATTGGACAAAGCATTATTTGGTCAGTCTTTATTTACCTTGAATTGCAACACAAATTAGGAACATACATAGCCCTCATACTTCATCCTTACTGAACAAAGTTTTTCTCTTTTCAAACTTCCTTACTGATACTGTGAGGTACTTGAGCTGAAGGGGATTGTAGTGTGCCGATATGGCTCTACGGACCACCCGCTTTCCACTTCCGAGTCTCCTGTGGATAAAATTTCTAACTAAAAAAAAAAATATTAAAGTTGAAGTATCTTTACATCAGGAAACTGGTATATGTCCAACACACACAATCAAGTAATTAATAAGGCTAGTTAGGAAAGGCTTTCTCCTCTTTGTGGGGTATTGCTCTGCTTTATAACTGCCCATTTCTTGAAACCAAATATCCGCTGCTGGCCAACTGCAAGACATCTAGCAAGTTGTATGATTTTTGCTTAGCACAAATACTGTCCTTTATTATGACCATTGTGCATTTGAATTAATTAATTTCATTATATAAGTTGTATACAATTTTTTAGCAAATCATGAGTATTGGTTACAGATTCAACTGTGCTTAAGTGTTACCTCATGATTCAACTTTTTGTGGGAATAGCCTACAGGTTCTTAATTCGTTTTTTCACAGATTTAATTCTTTACCTAGGTGACCTCAGTCTGTTTTTTAAGTTTATAAATTAGTGCTTTTTAGGGGAGTGTTAAAGGCTTGATTGCAGTCTAGGAACATGGCTCCTTCACATCCTCCTTTTTCCTCACTAATCCTTCTCGTCCTATGAAGAGTAAGCAACAGTGATCACACATAACCAACGATTTTTAAGAATAATGTGGGACTTAAATGGAGCGAAGACAAGAAGCCAGCGACTTCAATCTTTTCATAGCATTTATTGCATCCAGGAGCATTAGAACATGAAAATAAATGGAAGAATAGATGAAGATCTACAGTAACCTTATTGGTCAATATGAGTCGACTCCTATTTATTGTAATCCATTCACATTTACATGTGGCCTACACTTAAAACAATCCAGCGACTCGGTTATTTTATGTCTCGGCTACCTGTTCCACAAATCTACAACCAAATTTCCAAACCAATATCTACTCACTTCCTTAACCCCACCACTATTCACCATAATTTCCATTGTAAAATTCATTTTTTTTTATTTGTTGAACTACTTTACCTGATCATGGGGAAAAATAAAAATTTATATAACTATGGGTGTGGTAGAGGGAAGTTGTCTCAGTGATGTCACCAATTCATGCTCGCTCCTGCAGTGAACGTCCCCTAGAGTTAACTCCCATCAGTCGATGGAGTTGCCATGAATATATTTTCCACTTCAGTATTCAACCCTTAGACAGCGGGTTACCATCATAAATAAAAATGATTCACAAGGGTAGTGCAGTTATCGTCATACGACGATTTACACAATTATTATCTGGGTTTTACATGTGTGATGCCACTAAGGATATAATGGCTCTGTGGATGTAATAAAGTATACTTTGACCCATGAAAAGTATCCTGCTGTTATTTCACGGCTACTTTACTATGTGAATGTTATGAAAAGGGAATATGGTCGATGTCATTGTATAAACTGACATCATAATTACATATACAGTAACAATGATGTTATTTGGGTTTAAAAATTCTTATGGTTGGAATGAGGTATACCAGGTAAACCAATGATCACTTGAACCATTCTCGTGTTACATGTATTTAGGAGCCTATCGTCATCTGTGGTGGCACATTGGTTGCTTGCGTTTTTCTTTCAATCTCCCGTCACCCATATAGTGCCAATTAGGCCATATATGGCCCATAGCCCAACACCATTGTATATTATGTTCATATCCAGTTGCTGTTTTAAATTCAGCTACTGTACTTAGAGCAAAAGTTCCAAGTAGCACGGGCTAAGGTGAGCCCATTGTGGACTTACCTGGCTCAGGAGTGGCGCTGATCCTTTTCACTGCTCTATATTGTTGTAATGGAGTATACCAGGTAAACCAATCATCACTTTAAACATTATAATGTTATGTGAATTGTGATTTATTGTTATTCAACACGCATACTCTTGTAAATATAGAGAAACAAGTGCTAAAGAAATGGATTTTAACAACCACAGTCGACTTGATAATGGTTCAGGACAGACCGAAACGTCATCCCTTCACTTTCTAGTGTAGTGTTTGGTCAACTCCCTTATCCAATGGAGTACCTTCCCTTTCACTCCTACCTGCATCTCCAGCTTGTGCACTAGTCTCTGGTGTGGTAGTGTCGAAGGCTTTCTGGCAATCTTAAAATACGCAGTCTGCCCACCCCTCTCTTGCCTGATTTTTGTTGCCTGGTCGTAGAATTCATTTAATCCTGTGAGGCAGGACTTGCCATCCCTGAACCCATGCTGATGTTATTACAAAAGTTTTTTTTGCTCCAGATGTTTCATTAGCTTTTTTTACACAATCTTCTTCAACTTGCATGGTGTGCAAGTTAGGAACACTGGCCTGTAGTTCAGTGCCACCTGTCCATCCCCATTCTTGTACATCGGGATTACATTAGCAGTCTTCCAAATTTTTGGCAGTTCACCTGTTACCAGTGATTTGTTATACACTATGAAGAGTGGCAGGCACAGCTCCTGCTTCTGCTCCTTCCTTTAGTATCCATAGTGAGATTCCATCTGGGCCTATAGCCTTTGTCACTTCCAACTCTAGCAGAAGCTTTCTTACCGCCCCATGGATAATCTCGAACTCTTCTAGCGGTGCCTGGTTATGTTCCCTCTCTTATCTCTGGAACTTGCTCAAATGTGAAGACCTACTGGAATTTCTTAGTTCCTTGCACACTTGTCTTTTGTAGTGAATCTGTCTGCTCCCATCCCCTGTTTCATTACCTGTTCCTTCTGTTGTTTTTCTCCTGATGTGACTGTGCAGCAATTTAGGTTGAGTCTTTGCCTTGCTTGCCATGTCATTTTCATATTGTCTTTCTGCCTCTCTTCTCACCGTGACGTATTCATTCCTGGCACTCTGGTATCTTTCTCTGCTCTCGAGTGTCCTGTCATTTGTATAGTTTCTCCGCGCCCTTGTACTTTGTTGCTTTGCTAGCTTACATCTCTGATTAAAACCATGGGTTTCTTGTCTGCATTTCCTTTTTTTCCTTTTGGACTGGGACAAACTTTGCTGCCTCCTTACACTTCTGTGTGCTGTAGTCCATCATATCTTGGGCTGTATTTCCTCTGAGCTCTGTTTCCTAAGTTATATCTGTTAGGAATTTTCTTATCTCCTCAGTTTCCCTTTCAGAATGCCAGTTTTTTGTTTTCAGGTCCCTTCCTTGAGTATATTAACCCTTCTTGGACCAAATATTCAAATGTCAGTACACTACGATCACTCATTCATACTGGATCTTTGTTACCAATTTCCCTTATGTTGAAGTCGCTCAGAATGAAGACTAGGTTGAGTCTTGCTGGTTCATTGTTGCCTCTCATGCTTGTGGGTCCCCTGACATGCTGGCTTAGAAAGTTTTTTGTTTCTTAGAAAGGTTACGTACTCTGCGGCAACCATCATATCACACGAATTAATCAAACACATGTTTTAATTACCGTATATAAGTTTCTAAATATATTCCAAAGACTTGCATTTAGCTAATCTGATTGTTTCATGATTTCATGGCAAGAAAGAAAACATACTAGTTGGCAACTCACCAGTATTGCAATATTTTTCTTGACTAAAAATAAAAAAAATGCTTAGCTGACCCATATCTTTCCAATAAAGTTCCAAATGTCATTAAAATCTAGGTTTCAAAATTTCAGAATACAGTAGTATACTGTTGTTGTATATTTATTAAAAAAAAAAAGACTGACTCGTGCCTCTTAAACTCTGCATTTGCCCGCCTAAATGGGTAGCTTGGAGTTAGTGCTGTGGGCTGCATCTTTGGGAATGTTGGTCGTTTGCCAAGGGGGAGCTTGATAAGCTTAACAGACTTCTGTCCAAGAACTGTGCAACCATAACATTTGGCAAAATTCTAAATTTTTACTGATGCATGGATGTTCTTTTTGTAGGGGTTTTTGCGCTTCTGAATGCCGTAGCAGTGCTGAAGTATCTGCAGAGCGTCATGACCCGAGCAGAATTCCGACACTTCTTCCTTGTGGCTGCAGGAACTGCTGCTGGAGCCGTTTTCCTGGCTGTGGTGGGGCTCACCTGGATGGGCATTGTGGCTCCCTGGAGTGGCAGGTATGCACACTGTAGTAGAATTGCATATTACAAGGCAATACGAAGTAATTTGATAATTTTAAATTGGTCATGTAATTTACATAGAGTATTCAGTACTGTAATTAGGTTTCAACATTACAGACTGGGATTCCTTTTATACTGCCTTATCTCCTTGTTAAAATTTTTAACAAAAATCGAGAGATTTGAAAAATCCTGTCATATATTTTTAGTTTAGGAAATATTGCTTATTGAATTTGTGGTCTGTTGCTTTGGTACGTCCTGATCACTTTTTTAACCACTGTACTGCACAACCCGTGATACGGGGAGACGGGGGTAGCCGCCCTTCATATCATGTTTATTAGTACCTGTGTATCATAAAATTCTAAACTGCGGGTGCACAGGGCTCACATCCAGTGTCTCAGGACTTCAATAAACAGATGCCATCTTGGAAAAAAAAATTGTCTATCCCTCCTGGCAGTGAGAGCCTCAGTACCTCAGTCCGTAGTTGCCAGAGCAACCAAAGGCTAGTGCATGCAGCTGCAGCTCACAGCACAGCTGCACATGTCGGGGCCACAACACCACTTAAATCTTTGCCTGGGCTAGGTAGGCCGGACGGTGGTGATGTGCCCCCGAGCGCACCACCACACCAATGTTTAAACTCATTCCAGTTTTCTCACCTCAATTTTGTTCATTTTTGTATCAAATTGGCGCAAGACATTGGGGTACTTTTTAAAACACGTTGCATAATAATTGAAAAATAGATGGAATTTTGGGGCATCAAGGACACAATTTGCGTCCTCCCCTGAACTACGTGTATTGACTTTTGGACACAAATGGTGTTATCCCCCACAGTGAAAGTGTCTTAGTAATGACATAAAATGACTGACTACAATTATTTTGCATTGATAGTGTCATAGACAATCCTGATTGCGCTAAAAATTATGTACTGTACAAGATTCAGATATCGGTGAACACAGTGGTATTTATGATATTCACAGCAAGAGGCAGACATTCACAGCACACAGCCGAGATTTGTGAATCTATGCATCGTGCAAAATGACTTCATGTTTCTTTAGAAAATTATTTATATTAATGATTAACAGAAATCTGATAATACTGGGGTCTGATCTTCCCCACACTATTGTAGGTCAAAATTGCTTGGATCTGGGAGCCACACCTGCCCATGCCAAAGAAAGGCAGATGTGTGTGGATTGCAAGAAATAACTTTTAGAGTAGAAATTGAAAGTGGAAAAATGTTTTAAGGAGGAATGTTAGATGTTCTGTTCGTCAGATGAAGGTAATGAAGGAAAGGATAATGAATTGTTAAATGGAGTGTTATAAGAATGAGTGGAAGATTATTGGGGACAGTAAGGAAGGATAAGATTGTTACTGAATGAGAAGTGGTACAAGGGCATGTTCTTGGCGTTTGTGTGTGAAATTAAAGTTTGAAATGGTAATGGTGGGAACTGTTGTTGGTTCTGCACAGTGTGATGACACAAACGGGGAATGAAATATATTTTTGTAGTACTGTAGCTTAGAGAAAGACAGAAATAATGTATGAAGATAATGCAGAGAATGTCACAACACTGTGGCTGGCACGAATATCCTTACCCACATCTTAAATGGTGTCACCTTTAACCCTTTAACTGGGCAACGCGCCTGCAGGCCCAGGCTTCAGGTGCACAATGCGCCTCCGGGTGTTTTTATTTTTCACGTTCCATTCAAAACTCCCACGGCTACATGGGGTTCACATCAGCTTCCTCAGGGCTCTTGTAAACAGACGCCATCATTAAAAAAAATCATGGTCCACATTGCCGGGTGCCAGAGCCTCAGTAGTGAGTGAGCAACTAAGGCTGGCGCTCGCAGCATGAGCGCACAGCACTACTGTTCAGCGTGTGACCACAGCATCGCCTAATATTGTCAAAATATATATATAATCTGTTTTATTTAGCCATGATAGTATTATAGAAGAGCCCGAGTGTGATAATGACTGGGTACAATATTCAAATATCAGTGATTCAATGCTGTTCACGATGTTCACAGCGCTAGCCACAGCACCACAGAATTATTTCGTCCATGTAGGAACCTTCAAACGACTTTTTAGGTTCCTTTTCAAAATAAACTTGTGGTCAATTATTCATTTACAGGTACAGTATTAGTGACCAGGATTGTGGCTATAATTAGCGTTGTGCGTAGGAAGGAGGAATTTTGGTGAGGAAGGGAGAGAATTGAGGTAGCCTCACTGTGTGGCAGTAACTCTTGTTTTGCTCACCATACTAGCTTCGTGGTTCGCTATGGGGAACACACATGTACATGGGTATATATAGTGTGTGTGGAATAGTGTAATAACAGCACCAGGAGTATGTTGTGAGGAGCTATTTTGGTGAGGGAGGTGACGTCGTAATCGTGGCGTCGTCTGCTGTGTGATTTGTCATGCAGTGTATGGTGGCCACTGTACTGTTTGGATACAATACCGGCTTACTTGCATAGTTCTGGTAAATAAAACATGTAGATAGGTATATATAACATGTGTAAATTTTGTAATAAATACAATAACAGTATGGTGGGAGGAGCAATGTTGGCGAGTAAGATGTTGGAGTGAGGGAAGGCTGGCTGGGTGTGGCTGCTCACACTCGCGGTGTTCTGAATGTGTTGATGGTGAATGTATATAGTGTGTGACAGTGTAGAGTGTGTACATATGTTGTAAATATACATAAATGAACTTGAAACATTCGTGTGAATACAGGTAACTGTATGATTTAGAGGAGTAATGTTGATGAATGCAATGTTGGAGGAGTGAAGGAGGGCTGGCTGGGTGTGGCTGCTCACACTCGCGGTGTTCTGAATGTGTTGATGGTGAATGTATATAGTATGTGACTGTATAGTCTGTAAATAGATTGTATATATTCATAAATTAGCATGATACATGGTAAATATGTGCAACATGTGTACACAAGTGTCATGCACGTAACAGTGTCTTCGGACAGTACGGATGTTTTACTGCTATAATATAGTGTACGTGTTCATTATACATAGGATTAGCATGTAAAAACAAATAAAATGTATTTGGAACTGTGCCCAAAAAATGTGCAAAAATATATTCACGGCAACTCGCACGCCCAGCCCTGGGCGCTCCACCGGCCTCGGGAGCATACTGCTCTGGCACACGGGGAATTATGACGTCACGGGCCACCTTTCGGACCCCATAGCAGCCAAAGTAAGTACAATTTCGAACTTGCGTTGCTATACCCATATACAGGGAGGGGTTTTTGACACTTTCCGAGGAAAAAATAATTTTTTCCCAAGGTTTCATTTCCTGCGCACTGGGGGGATGTCATATTTATAGGCCGCACAGTTAAAGGGTTTAGAAAAACAAAGAAATAACATTAATGTGATTGTTTTGTGCACTGTCGTCATTATTATTTTATTTCAAAGAGTTGATTGGGGTATATGAAGGCAATACTATAATGTGCATGAGGTTAATTCACTGTTTTGTTGGTAAGTGAATACTAACCCAGTTATTTTGTCTTAACAGATTCTACTCTTTGTGGGACACTGGATATGCCAAGATACATATTCCCATTATTGCATCTGTATCAGAGCATCAACCCACAACATGGTTCAGCTTCTTTTTTGACCTGCACATTCTTGTGGCTACCTTCCCTGTCGGGATATGGTACTGTATAAAAAATATCAATGATGAGCGAGTCTTCAGTGAGTATAACTGTTCGTATGGTATTTTTTTACTCTTAAGATACAGCAAGTTTATGATTACAGAATGACTTTGAAGGTGTTGAAATATGTTTATTTGAGTAGATTTTGGTAGACGTAAATCTTTTATTCTTTAATAGCATGTTTTCAGCTGATAATTTTTGCAAAGTTTAATGATGACAATGGTTCATTCCCTGTTTAGAGGTTTTCTAATGGTAATCTGTATTTTGCAGTTGTATTGTTTGCTGTCAGCGCAGTTTATTTTGCTGGCGTTATGGTGCGTTTGATGTTGACGCTGACGCCGGTCGTTTGCGTACTGGGGGGAATTGCCTTCTCGCGTCTCTTTGAAGTCTATTTGAAGGTATGTACTTGGAGGGAATTTTATAAATTAGAAGAGTAATGTGAGGGACTTGGTAGTGAAAATGTTAGAAGGAAAAGTTGACTGGTCTTGCCATTCAAACAAAATTTAAGGATGTCACCACTTACTGAATGAAAATATAGCTTATCCTAGTGAAAATTATGGAACGGTAAAGAGAATTTGTGCAAAATTATAGTTTATAATAACAGGGTGGAAAAGGTTACCTTGAGAAACGCAATTTTTTTTATATATAGTAGTCTGTTAAATTTTTTTTTCTTTTGTCCATGCACTTAAACTGGTTGGTACAGCGACGGCCTCGCTTTTTGCAGGGTCGGCGTTCGATGCCCAGTGTTCCAAGTGGTTGGACATCGTTCCTTCACTCCATCCTCATATCGTAGCTCTTATTCAATCCTCGTACCCCTTTCAAGTTTCATGTAGTCTTACTCAATGCTTTCCCAATTATTACCTTAAATTTCTTGGTTTAATGGGCTAATGTTTTCTCCATCTTTTTCATCCACATATAACCCCCCCCTGCATGAAAATTTAGAATGGTAGTAATCATGGTAAGAAATAATAATACTAGTGTCTTCATTTTTTTAACTAAATGATGTATTCACTGCAGTGGCTAGACTGAACCTACGTAGGGAAATACTGTCTACGCTCAGTAATCTGCATCATGTGGGGCTCATCCCCATTTGAGTTAGCTGAACATTAAACGTAGCCAGACATTCGACTTGGCTGAATTTCTTACCAGGAATGTCCAAAAATGAACAAATTTGCAACTTTTGTGTCAGTCACCTAGCAACACCTGCTCTTTCCCGGCTATACTGTATTCGTCACTCGCCCCAAAAGATGCATGCGTCCTTTTAAGCTGAATTCAGATTCGGGTAAAAAAGTCAAGAACTGAAATGCGAATTCAGTGAAGTTGCCTGAATTCATATTACCAGGCTATTGCAGTACAGTGCAGCTCAATTCACCAAACTATATTGGACCAATCCTGATTCGTTGGAGTGAAAGGATTCTTTGCAACTGAAGATGCCTTCAGAAGGCATTTGCGAGATGAATTTATTTTTTGACTAGAAAAATGCATACAAAAAATAATTTAAAATATGATTGGAGCTATATTATTAGTTACCATTTGTGCCTTCATATTTCCCATGCTCTATGGGCTAATTTCTGGATGATCTGATACGATCTAATTTCATATCAGATCATCAGACCTCCATTGTGTTGAGACATGTACTGTATAGGGGCACTGTATTTATTTCAGTAGTTTCAAAATGTGTATAGGTGGATATTCTCGTGTGCAATATGTTTGGGATATTTATGAAGCTTGTTTGATACAATGTATAATGGATGTGGATGAAAACTGTCAACTTTTGAGGAGGTTAACATGTTGTAATGGAGTTTTCTCTTATCTGACCAGGAGGAGGAGCAGTCGCGTCCACAGAGCGGAGACTCCAGTGATGACGATGAAGATGGAGAGAAGAATAATAAATACGATAAGGCTGGTAAACTACGTAAAATGAAGCACGAGCAACAGGTATTTACTAGTGTTGCCGGTCTTTACGTTTTCCTGTAGCAAGCCTTATCCATACAGGGGTGGTCATAATTTATATCCCCTTAACTATCTCACCTGTGATGATTAGCTTGATCTTAAATCATAGGTCGGTTTCTATATTTAATTTAAGATCTAAATCATAGATCTTAAATCAATGAGGAGCCGGTCGGCCGAGCGGACAGCACACTGGACTTGTGGTCCTGTGGTCCCGGGTTCGATCCCGAGCGCTGGCAAGAAACAATGGGCAGAGTTTCTTTCACCCTATGCCCCTGTTACCTAGCAGTAAAATAGGTACCTGGGTGTTAGCTGTCACAGGCTGCTTCCTGGGGGTGGAGGCCTGGACGAGGACCGGGCCGCGGGGACACTAAAGCCCCGAAATCATCTCAAGATAACCTCAAGATAGGTAACCACTTGATGCTTCATGCTCACCAGGATGAAGTATTTTTCATAGCTGCCTTTAAGGGCCCATGACACATTATTGGCGAGCCTTAGCTTTAAAACTTAAGGAAATTCAAAATATCTGGCAAATGTTGGGTGTTTGGCTGTACCCTACAGACTAAGGTGTTGCCAGAAGGAACAGGTCTCTCTCACGGATGGGGAGTATCCAAAAGGGAGGGGGGATGGAGGATGGATGTGTGCTTTATACTTTTAGCAAAAATACTAAGCTATCTACCTATCTTGTGGCTACCTTGTGTAGCTTCCGAGGATCAACGGCCCCGCAGCCCGGTCTCTGCCTAGGCCTCCTGGTCAACCAGGCTATTGGATGCAGCTGTTTGCAGTCTGACGTGTGATTCACAGCTTGGTTGATCCGGGCTGTGGTGGGTACGTGGCCTTGCGGGCCGCTCCAAGCAACAGCCTGGTGGACCAGACACTCACAAGTCGAGCCTGGCCTCGGGCCAGGCTTGGGGAGTAGAAGAACTCCCAGAACCCCATCAACCAGGTATCAACCAGGTATCAGGTGACTCAGCCTAGTTGATTTGCCTGATCAATCATAGTTGATTGAGCTGTGGTGAAACCATGGTAGATATTACAAATCTTGTGCAGCTGATGCTGTCTAGTTTACTGATGCATGAGTGGTTAAACTAGTGATGGATTTTTGTGTTAAGAGTCTTGGAGAACAAGTTGCAACCTCAGCGAATAATACAACCTCAATTGCATTGTTATGTTTGTAAGAATCCAGTTAGACTAATGCCAATTTGAGTAGATGAGAATAATTCTTGGGTTCCAGAAAGTGTTATTAAGCAGGGATGACATGATTTATATATATACAACTGCTGAGATTAATGTTGAATGTATGGCATAACAAGAGAAATTATAATTTTGGGTCTTGGTTTTCTCTGATCAGTCGAGCAATGATGGGCTTGGCGTCAACATCCGTAGCATGGTGATTGTGGCAGTATTGATGATCCTCATGATGTTCTCCGTCCACTGCACATGGGTTACCTCCAATGCTTATTCTTCGCCTTCAATAGTCCTAGCATCATACAGCCAAGATGGGTAAGTATTTTGTTCATTTCCCATATTCTACTTGGTTCATAAAAATATCTGCAATATTGTGTGCCTAATTTGTCTTTGGTCACTAACTGTATGGGAACAGGATTTCATGAATAGTTTCCATTCTCTGGCTTGAAGGATGCACAGTTCTTTCTCAATGACAATCTGTTAGGGAGGCATAGCAGTTGTATTTGTTATTGATTTTGAAGGCATATCCTCATTATACACAATATATTTTAGCTTGTAGTTCTTACTCATAAACACAGGTATAGTTTTCTGGAGGGGAGCCCACCTTCATGGCTGTCTGTAGCTACCTTGCTGAGATTGCTCTGTAGTATGTCCATCAATTGTGGGAGTTCTATTAGGGCCACCAGGAACCAGAGCCCCCCCACCCCCTCACAGGCAGAGAGAGAGCAGATGCCATTTTTGCCATTTCACCAGGAAAGCATCTAGAAGGCCAGTGAAGCCTTGCAGACAACTGCTGGGTTCACACGACTCAAAGCCTTGAAACTGCCAAGCAACTGCCCAAACGATTCTTCAACCAATGCCAAATAATTCACTCGGAGCTAGTTCAAAGCCATTAGTACTGATCACCACCATCACACACCCTGGAGCTTGGTTTTCCACCCAATCTGTCCTCTTACAAAGAATGTCGCATTTGATCGTATTCATTACATAAGGCCAAAAATCACTGTACTGTACTAGAAAATGGAAATGGCTCGCAAAAACGACGTACTGTCCTGTTTTTTGTCTTGGGTCCTCTGGTATGTCCCTCAGTTTTTTCTGATTGCTTAGCTACTGTCACTAAGGGTCTTATCCAGAAACCCGGCTTAGATCGTAATGAAATGCCTCTTTTTGGGTAGAGCCCCAGTGACTGTCTCCCATCCCTCCTCCCAGTTTCATTGGTTTGTTGAAGTAATCTTTCTTTACCTGCACCAAAATAGTGGGAGGGAGCTGGCAGAGCGCCAAGCTCTCATCCAACCACTTGGACTGGACGGTCCAAATGGTTGGACCGTCCAGTCTGATGGCAGCAATCAGTACTTAGGAGTTTAAACTAGTTTTGAGTGAACTGTTTGGTTTATCAAATATAGTTTTATAATAATTTTATAGAATAGTTTTATAAAATGGAATATTTGGTTTTGGTTGAATTGTTTGGGAAGTTGTTTGGCAGTTTGAAGGCTTTGATTCTTGTGACTGCAGCAGTTGTGTGTAAGGCTTCTCTGACTTCTAGGTGCTATCCCAGTGAAATGAGTCAATTTGCTCTCTGCACCTCTATAAGGGAGCCAGGTTCTGACTGGTTTCCATCATTTCTGTAGTTATTTACAAATTTATAATGTTATTTAAAAAAAATATAATGTCTTAACAAAGGTTCTATTTCATTTGCAGGAGCAGACAGATTTTAGACGATTTTCGTGAGGCATACTACTGGTTAGCGCAAAACACTGACACTGATGCTAGAGTAATGTCCTGGTGGGATTATGGCTACCAGATAGCTGGAATGGCAAATAGAACTACTCTAGTTGACAACAACACCTGGAATAATTCTCACATAGCCCTAGTAGGAAAGGCCATGTCCTCCAATGAAACTGCCGCCTACGACATAATGACCGCACTTGACGTGGACTATGTGCTTGTGATATTTGGTGGTGTCATTGGGTACTCCGGTGATGATATAAACAAGTTCCTGTGGATGGTGAGGATTGCAGAGGGCGAACATCCAAAAGACATAAAAGTAAGGAAAAAAATGAGTTTAATTGTGATGGTTTATCTTGATGAATTTATTGCACTTGAGAGACGTTAGTCGAGTTCTGTGAGCCGACTGTGTTATAGCCAGCCTCAATGACCTCTTGAACCAAAGCTCACTTTTTGAAAGTTAGATGCTGTCTAAGCTCGTTGCAACCCGTTCTCGCACTTGCTTATAGTCAATATCTTGCTTATGAATAAATGCATATATGACATACTAATTTATTGTGAATATTTGAGTTTACCTTGAAAAGCTGAATAGAAAACCACCACTTAACCTAACCTTCTTAGTATGTTAAGATATTACAATTAGTACTGAACCTATACCTATATTGATATTACAGTTTTATAAAAATAAAACAAAAATAAAATATTTAAAATTGTAAAGTAACTCGGGATATTGTCAAATTTTGCCTTGAAAAAAAAATATGGCTTAGAGAATGTCACACATGTACTTATTTATAAGTGAAATAGTTACTATAAGCAGTAAGTTGTATATGTGCTGTCTTGGGCAAGAGCGGGTTGCTCACTTATCCGGACTATATGAGAAGGACCCCTCACCAATTAAGTCAGATATCCGGATAAGCAGAATTCTTACCGAGAAAGTCCAAAAATTACCGTACAGTATTTGCAATATTTTGTACCACAAACATAATTCAAATTTCCACCCACACTATAAATCAAAAATATAATTTAAAACAGAAGCTTCAACTTACCTTGTAGTTCCTCATTTTGTTTGATACTGTAGATCTTGATGTGTAGTTCTTGAAAATTTATGTAATGTAATTTCTGGTTATCCGGTTTTCTGTGCTGATATAGCAAAGTTTTACCAGAAAGTTATCTGCATGAAGTTTTGGCCAGATGGCCCAATTATTTGGTTCGGCAGGCTGCGGATAACTGAGCTCACCCATTTGTTAAAACAAATGTTTACCCAGTGGATTTGCAAACACACTATGTACCACTATAGAGGCATGTGTTTTCAATTAATCTTGATTATTCTTATTACCTATGAAAATGTTTCCCCTATAGTGCAGTCAGCTTGCAGATTGGAACAGAGTTCAATTTTCATGCAGAGCAAAATGTTGGGATACATTTCCATACACTGGATGCCTCTGTTCATCTAGCAGTTGGGGAACCATTGTTGGTTGCATCCTGAGGTGGTCAATCATTGGCCAGGGGGAACCTCTTTAAGCCTAACGATCTTTATCTCCTGAAAGTGGAAGACCCTAATTGCTTAAGCTTAACAATATCAAAATTTGGTGTTAGCACTGAAAAGGTATAAAAAAAAAGGGGGAGGGGGGAGCAAATTACACAATAGATTGTAAGATAACCCCCTTTTTTAATTGTTGTAGTAAATATTATTTCTGTAAGTGAATAAATGTATGTAGATGGTAAAGTGACTAGTGGTTACCGGGATTGACATCTTTAAACAAATTGAAAACTTAGTGCAAGAAGTTGCTAGGACCAGACAATGTAGGTATCAGGGTGCTTAAAAAAGGCTGCAGTATAGCAGAGCTTAGCAAGCCTTTGTCTTGCGTATTTAATAAGTCACTTGTCAAACAGTGGCTGTTTGACAAGTGACTTAGAGTTGTGAATGTTGTGCCAATTTTTATGAGATTGATCAGTTGCATCAAACTATCAGCCTATTAACTTAGTGTCCATTGTTGGAAAGTTGGAAATGTTCTTGCAACTATCGGTGCAAAAGGCATTTGTTTACATGTGTAAAAACAGATTAATAAAGGGTTCACAACATGGTTATACTAATGGCTGATAGTTTACAAAAATTTACTCTTCCTGTATATTTTAAGCAGTTGAAATGGGATGGGATTGACATTTTATATCCAGTGCTTAGCAAAGCCTTTGATACTGTGCCTCTTTAAAGATTCATTATAAAAATAGAGGCATATGGTATAATAAGGGTTGTCCTAACTTGGAATAGGGCATCGTTAGTTCAAAGCAAATAGAATTATCATAAATAGATTAGTTTGAATGGGAACTTTGTTATATAACTCCACTTTCTGTTATAAGTGGAGTACTGTAGGACATGTACTGTTTACCATGCATCATATACGAAAAAGATTTAGACACTGCAACGGTTGTAGATTTGCAGCTACAAACATAGGGCTCAAATTAAATCACAAGATTATAAATAGCTATGAAACAATACAGGTAATAACAATGGTTTACAGTACCAGATGTCAGCTGGACAATGTTAAAATGAAATAACAATCTGAATGCGTGTTAGGATCTGGGAATCGTGATTATTAAGGATTTTGAGCCCAAAAAAAAGATAATTAAAAAATGTATGGCATAAGGCCAATAGGATACTAGAACTTGTGGATGTGCTAGCAAGAAGACGTCATATTATTTTTCAGCTTTATCTGGCTCTGGTTAGGACCTATTTAAATGACGCAGTCCAGTGTTGGACGCCATACTACTGAATGGGCACAGAGAAGGATGACATTTAATCCTAAAATCTTCTATATGAATAGATTAAGAAAGCTTAATTTACATTCACTAGAAAGGTAAAGAGTAAGGAGTGATATGATTTGAATTACAGTACAGTATACAAATGGATGAATTGTTATAATAATGTGTTAAATATATTTACACAAAATTGAACAATAAACATTGGATTCAGATTAGATAAATTTAGATTTAGAGAAGATTAGTTTAGTAAGTGTTTGTTGATTTATAAAACAGATTAGTAGGTAACATAATATCTGGGATTGCTTGATTGTTTAAAGCAAAGTTAGACATAAATATGAATGAATTTAGTTGAGTAAATAGGCTGCCTCACATGGACCAATATGCCTTCAGTAGTTTAATTTTTTTCTATGACAGGTTTTGTTGCACATTGTACTGTCAAGTTATACACATTGAAAACAAAAATGAATGGTAAACTATTAAATGCCCAGTGGTAATGAAGGTGAATGGAGAGAGAGAGGTCTTATAGCGAGTGACGGGATTAATGTTAAACAGTGTTGCGAGACAAAAAAATAAATTTGCAGAAGTTGTTAAAATATTGGGCTTTACTGAGAGGGTAGTTTTGATCAGTCATGTACATTTCAGTTCATTAGTGCATTTTTTCTACAATATGGTTTTCCATCATCATGGCATGAAGCATATTAGGCTTATTGAGGCCCCTTTAGGCCAGTGAGCTCACTCTGGATGCAATCCACAACAGTTGCTTAACTACCAGGTTCTTACTGCTAGGTGAACAGAGCCATCAGGTGTACGGAAATGTGGCAAAATGTTTGTCCTTATTGATTGGATATTGAAACTGGAACCTTGTTTGAGAGTCACCTTGAGGTTATCTTGAGGTTATCTTGAGATGATTTCGGGGCTTTAGTGTCCCCGCGGCCCGGTCCTCGACCAGGCCTCCACCCCCAGGAAGCAGCCCGTGACAGCTGACTAACACCCAGGTACCTATTTTACTGCTAGGTAACAGGGGCATAGGGTGAAAGAAACTCTGCCCATTGTTTCTCGCCGGCGCCCGGGATCGAACCCGGGACCACAGGATCACAAGTCCAGCGTGCTGTCCGCTCGGCTCCCCGAGCCGTACGTACCCCGCTCCCCGTACCTGTGCCGAGCACTTTACCATGGGGCTTGGTAGTACAGTTGGGTTCATTCTTGATTCATAAACAGTCTCCGTGGTGTAGTGGTAAGACACTCGCCTGGCGTTCCACGAGCGCTATGTCATGGGTTCGTATCCTGGCCGGGGAGGATTTACTGGGCGCAATTCCTTAACTGTAGCCTCTGTTTAACGCAACAGTAAAATGTGTACTTGGATGAAAAAACGATTATTCGCGGCAGGGGATCGTATTCCAGGGACCATAGGATTAAGGACTTGCCCGAAACGCTACGCGTACTAGTGGCTGTACAAGAATGTAACAAATCTTGTATATATCTCAAAAAAAAAAAAAAAAAAACGGGAATCCCGGGTGGGACAGAAGTGATTGGGTATGTTTCCTTTTACCTAATGCTTCTGTTCACCTAGCAGTAAGTAGGTACTCGAAAGTTAATCAACTGTTATAGAATTGCATGCTGAGGAAGGTCAGTAGTTCAACCTTGGGGGGGGTGGGGGGAACCTCAGTATCACACAGTGTATACACACACTGTGGGACACAGGTGGAAACTGAGTACCCAAATAAGCCACATAGACAGTGAAAAGAATTTTGTCAGTGTTAGAGTAGTTAACAAATGGAACACATTAGCAGATATGATAAAGCTCAATAGGCTCAGGAACCTGTACACCAACCACTTGGACTGGATGGTAGAGTGACGTCTCGTTTCATGTGGGTCGGCGTTCAATCCCTGAACGTCCACAAGTGGTTTGGCCACCATTTTTGTTCTGAGACCCGGAACTTCAAGAACAAGAGGTCATACATTTAAACTAACTAAACAAAGATGCCAAAGAAATATAAGAAAATTAGCTCACAAAACCACTCCTAGTTATAACCACCCAAACTCACTTATATACGTGGCTAACCTATGCTTTAAACAGTCTAGTCTTCCCAGGGCTATTGTACCTGGTAATAGGTTCCAGAATTCAACTACCGTTTGCAAACCAGTGTTTTCTTTCATGAATCAAAACTAATCCAATTTATGTACATTGTTTTGTGTTCAATTTTGTGTTGATATATTTAATACCTTGTATTTCCTTTATTTTATAATTTTATCCATATATATACTCTACTGTACTGTACAAATCATTCCACCCTTTGCTTTCCATAATTTTTTTAAGTTACAAATTTGTTGCTGTTTAAATTTAATTGTAGTGTATTGACTAATTGATACTTAAGTATATATTTTTTTTAATAATTATTTTAATTTCATTTAAAGGCAAAGCTAGTACAGTATTTAGAATATAGAAAATATTTGAATTGGAGAGTAATAGCAAACTTGTCATCTTTCAGGAAAGTGATTATTTCACTGATCGTGGAGAGTTCAGAGTGGATTCCCAGGGATCAGCAACTCTCTTGAATTGCCTTATGTACAAGTTATCTTACTATAGATTTGGAGAATTGAAGGTGAGTTGTTAAGGTTTTATTTTATTGAAGGTTAAGTTAAGAGAACAAAGACGAATGTTGTCATTGGTCTTTTGACAGATCTCGCATGAAGTGAGATGCTCTAAAAGTCTGTTGTCTTGGCAACAACATGGACTGTCTCCTCTGAGAACATGCTTTTGAATTACTGGATCTTACTGAATTCAAATAATGTTAGGAACCTGATGCCTTTCAAAATTAAGCAGTTTCTGACAAGTTAAAATATAACAATGGCGGAGACAGGACTATATACAGTGTCGGTCACAAAGAGAAGGAACTGTAAGACTGTATATTGTGACGGTAAAGCGTTGGTGTTCGGCTGTTTCAAAAGCTAGGGGCAGGGCCTCGTCACATGACAAAAAAAAAAAAAAGAGAAAAGTTGGTCCTTTCGTCTGTGGTAAGGTAATGGGAAGACACAAAACACAAGTATATAAACAATGACATTTTAATTACTCTAGAAAACAAGACATGAATAAAGGCAATCTCATAAAAATATGCAGGACAAGTCAACAAACAAAATAACATTATAATCACTGGCAAATGAAAAGTTACGCTAAGACAAGTAAGTTACAGTGATAGCAAAATAAAATATGAGTGCTGGAATACTGGCTTCGAGCTGCCACCTCCCTTAGTACACGAAAGCCAAGGCTTAGTCTACCAGCGAGAGATGTCAACTGCATGGAGCACTGAGATATTCTGACGAGACTGGCACACTGCAGCCCAGACGTCGACTTGTGGTGGTGGCGGAGAGCAGGTGCGACGAGACACCAGCCAATCAGCAACAGGCAGGCAGAGGATGAGCAGTTAGCTGGTTACGGCGGTGGCCAGGTGTTGGGGTACGATTTGCTCTCTGGGCAAAACGTTTGGCGATACTTGGTGAACGTATCTTGTATATAGTATCTTGTATTTTGACGTATTTATGTAGGGAAGAGCAGGCTCAATCTCTCTTGAAAGAGATTATCGTCACAATATCTTGCCTGGGTTGCTGACTTACGATGTGAATTTGGGTGAATATGATATATTGTTTTCAGTTATCTTATAATTTTTTTTTACTGATATGTTTAATTTGCTTGCAGTTGGACTTCAGAACTCCTCCTGGCTTTGACCGCACTCGTAACACTGTCATTGGCAATAAAGACTTTAAGTTGACATATTTGGAGGAGGCTTACACTACGGAGCACTGGTTGGTGCGAATCTACAGGTAATCATATTTATCTTGATTATATTTTGTTAAAAGTATTGTAGACCCCCAAATCTGTACATGTCTATTCCCATACACCCCACACAGGCTTGTTCTGGGAAGGTTTCCTTAAGTATCTCATTGAGGACCAAATTGGATGCTTTCATGGATGGTGAATGCTATTAAGGTACCGTATTAGGCATGTTTTTAAACTAAGCAAAATTTAATGTTAAATTTTAGGGTTTATTAACATTAATACTCCTTCACCTCGGTGAATACCCATGCATAAACATTCACTCGAAGCCCAGTTTAGACGCTTGAAATGTTATTTTTTTTGTTTTCCAAGTTGTTTTCTTGGTTATAACTATATTTGGTGTCAGATTGCTTGCTAATGAACATTGTAGAGTATTCATGCAACATAAAGGTGTATTAATAATAGAGTACACATTGCAGCACAGAATATACAAATGTTTGTGAACATTTCAACATTTTCATTTATTTTTCAATGTTAAAAGACTGAAATTTGCACACACACACTAAAGAAGAAAAACATTCATATTTTTCACCAAGGTAATTTGCAAGCAAAGGTAAAATGCTGAGAAGCAGAGCCATTATAACCTTCATGTGATTGGTTGGATGGTCGATGTGGTCTCTGCTTGGTCCCCTGGTGCTGTGGTTCATGCCATAACCATCGTCCAAAAAAAGTGATTGTAGCAAATTTTATCCTTTGGCTTAGAATTGTTAGCTTGAGTTCGGTATCCTGTCCTCCTAGCTTAGAATATTTGCTTGGGCACTTACTTGCCTTGTTGCAAATCTCTGTACTTTGAGTATTTCTTGTGCATGTGTGTGAAGGCAGGTGTGTCTGTGTGAGGAGGCTGCACTGCTCGTAAAGAACTTGAGTGATGTGACCCCTGATCCAGGTGTGGTAATGAGGTGACGCAGCTGCTAAAGACCACGTGTATGGTCCACATGAGAGAGAGATAATGAGTCCCTGTTGTTGGACTTCTATTGCACATTAAAGCAATATGTGATACTAATGATTGGAAAATGACAGTTAATGCTGATGATTCATATCAGCACCCAAATCTGTATAGATTCAAAGTTTGGAAGAGTAAATTATTTGAATTTTCATTATCATTATCTCATTACATTATCTCAATTTTTCCCATTTAGATTTAGACTACAGATTATAGCTGCTCAAGATTTAGTCATTGATTGTACAATGTTAAATTATTTGGCATTCTCATTTATATATATCCTATCTTGACACCCACTCCCCATCCAACCCCATCCTCTCCACAGCTTGGTTTATTCTTCATTACATTTTGGTTGAGGATGG